TCATTCGTTGACCGAAGAAGTACATCCCTTTGTTAGTCCGGCATCTACTGCTCATCAATATCATTACGCGCCCCCAAGTTCTAGTGTTTTGGGAGAGGGAGAGAAAGTTATCTCTGTCCACTCCGTCCGCCCTGTGCGTAATTTTATAAACCTGCATCATTATCCCCCCCCCCCTTTTCTAAACTTCCGCGGTAATGCTTATCTCGATCGCCCTCTTCTGCACTTTTCCCAGCATTGAAGTGTCATTTTCAAAATGCAACAACCCAAACCGGACGCGGCATTCCACACAAAGCTGCATCGCAGACGGCTACAGGGCCATGTGGGTGGTTTCAGACCTTTGTGTGCATTCTGTGCACAGAGAGGGGCTTTGCTGTCCTTTGTCCCTCTCTCACCCCGGCCTCTACCGCCTTCTGGAATGGCTCCACAGCCTACCACACGGAGGAGAGGGAGGGGCTGTGGCTCACGGGCAGAGCATCCGCTTGGCCTGCAGAAGGTCCCGGGTTCAATCCCCGGCTGCTCCAGTTAAAATGGCCAGGGTAGGAGGCACTGTTCCCTCTAAGATGAGGTAGTGTGAGCTAGCTCACATTCTTTTAGCCTCCGGCTCACACACATTTTTGTCTTGGCTCAGGAAGGGATGGCTCCAGAGCAAGCTAATTGATGCAGGAGCCAAGTTGCTCGCTCACAACTTTTAAGGCCACTAGCTCACAAAGTAGGATTTTTGCTCACGAGGCTCCACAGCTTAGAGGGAGCAATGGTAGGAGGTGATGGGAAAGACCCCTTTGCCTGAGACCTGGGAGAGCCGCTGCCTGAGTAGACAATACTGACCTTGATGGACCGAAGGTCTGATATAGTACAAGGAAGCCTCCTGTGTTCATACATAAAAGGAGTTTGTGTGTTCACACTCAAGAAGGATACCCAAACTGAGGATTTAAACTTCTGGAGCTCAATCGGGACACCTCTCCTCTATTGGGACAGGTATAGCACACCTTTTTCTAGGCAAGAAATCAGGGCCATGTCCATGGGCAATGCTCCCTCTAAGCTGTGGAGTCCTGTGAGCAAAAATACTACTTTGGGAGCTACCGGCATTAAAGTGGTGAGCGAGCGATTCGGCTGCTGCGTAAATGAGTTTGCTCTGGAGCCGTCCCTTCCTGAGCTAGGACAAAAAATGTGTGAGCCGGAGGCTAAAAAGCTGTACGCCGGCTCACACTGACTCAGCTCAGAGGGAGCGCTGTCCGTGGGGGTCCCCTGAAAGCCCTCCCACCCAAATACTGACTAAAACCAGACTTGATGAGGCTGGCTGCTCATGATCCACTGGAAGCATTTTTTTACCACCTTGTACGTCTTAATGACTGAGGGGAAGCTCAAATAACATATCGCGGAAGTGGCTGCACCAGAAGAGGCAGGGGACGGGACATGAGATCGTGTGGTTTTTCATTTGTCAAGGTGCCGAAAGAGTGATGGTTGGGTACGAGCTGGGTTACGAGGACCCGTCGCTTGCCCCGTTCTCCTTTCTGAATTGCAGGGACGGTCGCCAGAGCCCTCTGTGGTTCCGTTTTAATAAATACTGAGAGGTGTACAGCGGAGAAAGGCCAACATGCTGAGCCCAGCATGCACCGGGCCCACTTCATGGTGGGTTATGGTCGCCCGGTGTGGAGGGGTGGTGATGGAAATGACTGCAGCCCTCTGTACGGGCACCAGGGGCATCTGTTGCCTCCATGTACCAGTTCAAACTTTTGAGTCACGGTGAGTGTGGGAAACAGCGCCCCCAAGTGGCCACAGAGGGAGCTCCCACCAAGGAGGACGAGGATCCCTTTCACCTTCTGCAAGTCCAAAGGAGGGTTCACCCAACGGCTCCTTTGCCGCCCTTCCGTGGTGAAAGAGATGCGAGCGTGGCTAGATGGACTCGATTTGCTTGCGGACTTTCTCCAGGGCCTTCCGGTCCAGCATCCGGTGCCGATATACCACCAGCAGGGCGAAGAGGGCCGCTATGCCGATCATGGACCCCTCGAACTTCCAGAAGGCGTGGGCCTCCATCTCTACGGAGCGACAGCTGTAAAAGGAAGAGAGAGGATCGGCGTGAGGCCAAGGGGGCCAGGGGAAGGCCACTGTGAAACAGTCAGAAGAAATTGGGGGTGGGGTGAAGACGCCATTGATTTCAGCCAGGGCAGCTGCACTGAATCAAAATAGATAGGTAAAGGTATACTGCACAAGCGACCATTGCAGCCAGGTCCGTGGCTACGGTGGGGCTTTGGGGGGCTCTGCCCCCCTTCTTAAAGGCACAGCACCCCCCAAGAATTTGTCCTTGAAATGCTTTTTTCAATCATTTATAAACAGTTTTTTAAAGGCACTTGCTCCTTTAAGCAGAGTGGGGTGCTGCAGTTGACTAATTCCTGTACTGAGCAAGGGGGTTGGAGTAGGTGACCTCCGTGTCAAGAAACGGGCCTTCTTTAAGGGGGTTTTTCTGCCTAAGTGTTAGCTTTCTTGACTATAGAAGTCATCACCCCCACCTGCCGGCTTGTTATTAGAATTGTTCCTGAGGATGGCAGAAGTGCTTAACTGGCAGCAGCTGAGAGCTGTCACCTCATGTGGTTGCGATTTAGAGCTCCATCCTGGTAACAGCTTTCTATTGGCTAAATGCCTTTCTTTCTGCACTGAGAACTTCAGCCCCATCAGAAAAGTTTGCCCCACAAGCCACAAAATCCTGGCTACAGGCCTGAATGCAGCAACCCCCTGACCGAGGAACGCCTTTCAATTTTTCTAAGGTGGGACAAGTTATTGTACGATTTATAGTACAAGTACCAGGGAGGCACAACTCACAGTACTATAATATATAAAGCATCACAAGGGAATTGGGAAAGAAAACAGTAAGAAATAGGGTTGCCAAGTCGCGGCGGGGGATCGTAGGTCTTCACAGAATCCTTGCCGCGGTGACAGCGAGACGCGTTGCACCCGCTGTCGCCAGGATCTGATGCTACGCGTTGCTCTGGCAACGGGGCTCCAAACAGCCCCGTTGGCAGAGCGACACATAGTGTCATGTCCTGGCGACGCCGGTGCAATGCGTCTCACTGTCCCCGCGGCAAGGATTCTGCAAAGACATGCAGATCCCCCGCCGCGATTTGGCGAGATTTGGCAGGCCTAGTAAGAAAGGACAGTTTATGGATTCATTTCCCAGGACTACAGCAAGGAGCGCAACTCCCCCACCCTCACAAATGGCATTTGCACGCAGCAGAAAAAAAATATTTTGCATGCTGCGTGCCTGACCCGTGGAACTCCTTGCCACCAGAAATATAGCCAACAACACAGCAGAATTTTAAAAAGGACAAACTGGTCTCCAGGAAAACAGCAACTGCCAAAGAAAGGAAAGGAGGATTTTCCGTGCTTGGAATCAGGCTGTACCACTATCTAAAACACAGAGCGGTGGAGGTAGCCTCCAATGCTCCCTCTAAGCTGTGGAGTCTTGTGAGCAAAAATTGTACTTTGTGAGCTAACTGGCATTAAAGCTGTGAGCCGGCGATTTGGCTACTGCATCAATTAGTTTGCTCTGGAGCCATCCCTTCCTCAGCCAAGACAAAAATGTGTGAGCTGGTGGCTAAAAAACTGTGAGCTAGCTCACACTAACTCAGCTTAGAGGGAACACTGCCTCCTACCCTGATCATTTTAACTGGAGAGGCCGGGGATTGAACCCAGGACCTTCTGCAGGCCAAGCGGATGCTCTGCCCGTGAGCCACAGCCCCTCCCTCTCCTCCGTGTGGTAGGCTGAGGATCCATTCCAGAAGGCGGCGAAGGCCGGGGTGAGAGAGGGACAAAGGACGGCAAAGCCCCTCTCTGTGCACGGAATGCATACAAAGGTCTGAAACCACCCACATGGCCCTGTAAGCTGTCTGCGATGCAGCTTTGTGTGGAATGCCACGTCCGGTTTGGGTTGTTGCGTTTTGAAAAAGACACTTCATCTTAGAGGGAACACTGGCTAGCCACGTAGCTTAACCCTGCAAATACTCAGGGGCTTCACGGGGTGCAGTTCCAACATTAAGCCATCCCTGGTCTACCTGCCTTCAAGCTAGTTTTAACCACACCACCTCCCATTATTACTTTTTGGGTCAGTGCTCTTTAAGTCTGCCTTACTCCAAATCCACTTTCCCGTGTACAGCTCTTACTACTTCGCTTACAACTAGAGATGTAAAATTTCCGGAAATTTTGAAGCTTGGAAAAAAACCTTTTTTTTCCCGGGAAAAAACGAAATTTTTGGAAAAATGGAAAAAATGCTACATTAGCATTTCTTTTGTCTTTTCTAGATTGAAAGTCATTCTGTTACTTTAGGAACATAAAATATGAATATGGACATTTTTACTTGGCATGAAATTATTACAACTAGCATATTAAAAATATAGTGTATCCAAACAGTTATTACAAACAGAATACCCACCCATATGGAAAAACAAAACTGAAACTTTTTTATTTTCTTCTGACAATCGCACCTCCTAAAGGAAGAAATGCATCTTGTTCTTGCATTGGAGGGTTCAGTTTGTAACCTAGGACTTGCTTGTTCTCAGTGCACAGAAATTAGATCAATCTGATACATAATATATATATTTTAGAAATGATTTGGAAAATATTTGAACACCTTGTCTTAAAATATTTTATTCATCCTGTTAAAATAAAGTTCCATAATCAATTTTTTTTCTTTTTTCAATTTTTCCAATTTTTTGGGAAAAAACAAAAAAAACGTTTTTTTCTCGAAATTTCCCATTTTTTTTCCCGGGCCTTCACATCTCTACTTACAACTTAAGGGCTTCTACATGCTGCTGAGCCCCTTTCCCCCCGTGCCCAGAGATCCGTGGGCCCCTCGGCTTCCAATAGGGCCTTTAGTGCATCGGAAGGTCGACTAAGTGCTGACGGAGATCACCCCTTGTCCCTCCCAAGTCTGTGCCTTCCCCAGCACTGCTGCTGACCCCTGTTGGAGACAGGATACTGGAGGGCTGCCGGAAGCCACCGCTGCGGCACTCACCTCTTGATTTCCTGCTTCCCGCTACAGCTGATGTGCTCAATGAAGCCGGTCGTGCGGCACTCGGGGTTCCTTCTCTGCAATCAAGAGTGCATAGTTGATACCGACAATCAATTAACACTCGGGGCGAAGGGACCCCATGAACGCCCTCTGCTCTTTCCTTCCGTCTTAAAGACCACTCACATAGGTTAATTTATATATAAATATAGGGGAGTGGGTGCACCATCTATCCCCTCGTCTTTCATTACAGCTGAGGCCAAAGGCCGCACTTCTGCATGATGTGGCGTTCTGGGCTTTGATCGTTCAGGAGTCATACGGGGGGGGGGAGACAGAAAGGAGCTTTTCTGCAGCAGCTCTGCACAAGGTGGGATTGGTTCAGTCACCTGTTGAGATACAAAAGAGCTACCTACCCTCAGAAGAGGCTGCCCGCTGTGCCTCTGCATGAGACACTGGTTGAGGCTCACCTTCCTCTGACTAGGAGGCGTACCCTCAGGTGGCTCACAGAAAAACAGGAGGCTAAGTCTTACTCTTTCTAGAGGGCCTCTGATTAAAATTTATAAATATAATAAATATATAGTAAATAAATAAATAAATAAATAAATATATATATATTATTAGAGTTTAAACCGCCCTCCCCCAACCAAGGCATGGCTCAGGGCGGCATATAACATAATAAAGTCATATAGGGGAGTGGGTGCACATAATAAAGTCATACAGTCCATCATAAAGCAAACTTAGAAACAGTAAAAACACAGGAATTAACCTAACAGACGATGCTAACAATTTCAGGAGTGCCACTGCCTCGTGGGGAGGCGGGGGGCGGAAGTGCCAGAAGGATGTAACCGTCGCTGCCCTCGACCAAAAGCCTGGCGGAACATCCCTGCCTTACAGGCCCCTGTGGAATTGCATAAGATCCCGCAGGGCCCCTGATGTCATTTGGCAGAGAGTTCCACCGGGTCGGGGCCAGGACCAAAGAGGCCCTGCCCCTGGTCAAGGACAGCAGGACATTCCTAGGGCCAGGAATCACCAGCAAGTTGTTATTCGAAGAGCTCAAAGCTCTCCCGGGAACATACCGGAGGAGACGGTCCCGTAGATCAATGTTCCCTTTAAGCTGTGTTAGTGTGAGCTAGCTCACCGTTTTTTAGCCTCCAGCTCACAGATTTTTGCCCTGGCTCAGGAAGGAGGGCTCCAGAGCAAACTAATTTAATGCAGCGGTCAAATGGCTTGCTCACAACTTTAACGCCAGTTAGCTCTCTCAAAGGAGAATTTTTGCTCACGAGACGCCACAGCTTAGAGGGAGCATTGCTCCAGAGCAAACTGATTCATGCAGCAGCCAAATCGCTCGCTCCCAACTTTAATGCCAGTTAGCTCTCAAAAGAGAATTTTTGCTCACGAGACGCCACAGCTTAGAGGGAGCATTGCTCCAGAGCAAACTGATTCATGCAGCAGCCAAATCGCTCGCTCACAGCCTTAATGCCAGTTAGCTCTCAAAGTAGAATTTTTGCTCGCGGGACGCCACAGCTTAGAGGGAGCACTGCTCCAAAGCAAACTGATTCATGCAGCGGCCAAATCGCTCGCTCGCAACTTTAATGCCAGTTAGCTCACCAAGTAGAATTTTTCCTCGTGAGACGCCACAGCTTAGAGGGAGCATTGCTCCAGAGCAAACTGATTCATGCAGCGGCCAAATCGCTCGCTCCCAACTTTAATGCCAGTTAGCTCACAAAGGAGAATTTTTGCTCGCGAGACTCCACAGCTTAGTCTCGGCCTTGGCTATTTATCAGTCAACGGATTCATCCCACACCTTCCCAGACAAAACAGATCAGAGAAGCCAAAGAATGCCAGTCTGCAGAAGCAGGCTAAAGGAGCGGGAGGGCTTTGCCGACCCTTCTCATGCTGATGGCTGATGGCGGTGCAGGCCAAGGGAGGGGGAAGGACCCAGGCGCCGCTGGCTAAGCAGGCTGAGCAGGGGAGCCCTGGGCTCTCTTTCCTTCCCCCGCGGAATCCAGCCCTGGGGTCGAGCGAGCTGAGGCTGCCGCGTACGGGCAGGGGTTGCAGAGGCAAGCGTCGGTTTGGCAGAGCTGCTGAGCTGTGGCCAGCCCCCCCCCCCAACACCGGAACAGCCTGGAAAAGCCCCACTCACCGCCTCGAAACTGGAGCACGGGGAACACGGCTGGGTCACCACAAAGTCCTCGGTCCGCCAACACAGAGAGGCCTTGGACACGTTCACTGTGGGGATCGAAAGGGGAGGTCGGCTTCCTGAAGACACCCTCAAACGTGCATTTTTCTTAAACACCTCTTGATTTAGGGGCTTGCTCTGCCTCGGCCTTTTGACGGTCTTCTCCCGGGGGAAGGGTCTGTGGCTCAGTGGTCGAGCCTCTGCTTGGCGTGCAGAAGGGTCCCGGCCAGTGTTCCCTTCCCGCTAAGATGAGTTAGTGTGAACTAGCTCACAGGTGTCTTTTAGCCTCCAGCTCACACATTTTTGTCTTAGCTCAGGATGGGATGGTGTCAGGTTCGGACCCCCTGTTGTGATCAATTGCACTGTCCTAGGTTGCTAATGAAGAAGAAGAGATTGGATTTATACCCCACCCTTCACTACCCAAAGGTGTCTCAGAGCGGCTTACAAACTCCTTCCCCTTCCCCTCCCCACAACAGACACTCTGTGAGGTGAGTGGGGCTGAGAGAGCTCTGACAGAAACTGCTCTTGAAGAAGAAGAGATTGGATTTATACCCCGCCCTTCACTACCCAAAGGAGTCTCAGAGCGGCTTACAAACTCCTTCCCCTTCCCCTCCCCACAAAAGACACCCTGTGAGGTAGAAGAAGAAGAGGAGGAGATTGGATTTATACCCCGCCCTTCACTACTCAAAGGTGTCTCAGAGTGGCTTACAAACTCCTTTTCCCTTCCCCTCCCCACAACAGACACCCTGTGAGGTGGGTGGGGCTGAGAGAGCTCTGACAGAAACTGCTCTTTTTCAGGAACAGCTCTTATCAGAACTACGGCTTGCCCAAGGTCATCCAGCAGCTGCAAGCGGAGGAGTGGGGAATCAAACCCGGTTCTCCCAGATTAGAGTCCGCGCACTTAACCACTACACCAAACTGGGTCTTCCTTTCGCTTTTGTAACCCACCCTGCCTGCTTTGCCCACTTTGCAGATCCGGTTTTGCTTATTATCCTTATCAGTCCTCCCTGACATTCCTGGGGGGGGGGGGAGACCATTCACCAGCTGGCCTTGTGGCCTTGGGAGAGATAAGACTTTAGACATGGCCAGTTGGGTCGCATAGTCTTTCATGACCTGTAATAACGGCTTGGGCGTGTGTGACGTATGTCTGGAAGGCGGGACCTGTTTCCCAGTTACCGATCCCGTGCTTTTGCCCGCTAGTTCTGACAAAGGTGTTCACCTTTACAGAAGTCCAAATGTTGCCAATAAACCTGACTAAGGAATATTGTGTGGAGAGTGGTTTCTCTGGAGGGCTGACAGATGGCCCCAGAGCAAACTAACTGATGCAGCAGCCGAATCGCTTGCTCACAGCTTTAACGCCAGTAGCTCACAGAGTAGGATTTTTGCTCACAAGACTCCACAGCCTAGAGGGAGCGTTGGTCCCAGGTTCAATCCCTGGTAGCATCACAAGTTAAAAGGACCAGGCAACAGGTGATGTGAAAGCCCTCTGCTTGAGACCCTGGAGAGCTGGCTGCCAGTCTGAGTAGGGGCTGTGGCTCACTTGCAGAGCCTGTGCTTGGCGTGCAGAAGGACCCAGGTTCAATCCCTGGTGGCATCTCCAGTTAAAAGGACCTGGCAGTAGGTGATGGGAAAGACCCCTGCCCGAGACCCTGGAGAGCCACTGCCAGTCTGAGTACACAAGACTGTGATAGACAAAGGGTCTGAGTCAATATAAGGCAGCTTCATGTGTTTCTATATCCCTGTGCAGCAACTATGGTCATCATGCAGCCATCTGTCGGCTATCCAGAGCTCAGGCCTTTTGGTATAGTGGTTAGAGTGGGTTTGGGAGAACTGGATTTCATTCCACACGCCTCCACATGCAGCCGCTGGGTGACCTTGGGCCAGTCACAAGTTCTCTCAGAGCTGTTCTCTCAAGAGCAATTCTCTCAAGAGCTCTCTCAGCCTCCCAGGGTGTCCGTTGTGGGGAGAGGAAGGGAAGGGGACAGTATGCCGCTCTGAAACTCCGAGTGAAGGGCAGGGGGTGTCAAACCATATTCTGGCTCTGTGGGAGAGATAAGAGGGACCCCCCTCTTTGGTGATCTTCAGGAGGTGCTGCAAGGCCTGCCTGTTTTGCCAGGGCTCTGGAGGGAGTCTGAATTGGCTGGCATCTTTTAAGGGGGGGGAGGAGAGAGGCAGACAACCCGTGTCTGCTATTTTATTTTTGGTTTCAGCCTGAAAGTGTTTTTAACTATTACCGCAAGCCTCCTTGAACCACAAGGAAATGTTTTAAATAACAGATTGATAAAATTTGCTGCCAGAGGATGTAGTGATGGCCACAGGAATAGACAGCTTTAAAAAAGGGATTAGATAAATTCATGGAGGACAAAGTATCAATGGCTGCTAGACATGGTGGCTGAGGGGAACCTCCACATTCGGAGGCACTGAGCCTCCGAATCCCAGAGCCAGGAGGCAACATCAGGGGAAGGCCTCGGCCCCTCTGCACTGTTCTTGGCCCTCCAGAGGAACTGGTTGTGGCCGCTGTGTGAGACGGGATGCTGGACTAGATGGACCCTCACTGGTCTGACCCAGCAGGGCTCTTCTGATGTTCTTATGAGGGGAAGGCCTCGGCCTCTCTGCCCTGTTGCTGGCCCTTCAGAGGAACTGGTTGAGGCCCCTGTGTGAGACAGGATGCTGGACTAGGTGGACCCTCAGTGGTCTGATCCAACAGGGCTCTTCTGATGTCCTTATGAGGGGAAGGCCTCGGCCTCTCTGCCCTGTTGCTGGCCCTCCAGAGGAACCGGTTGTGGCCACTGTGTGAAACGGGATGCTGGACTGGATGGACCCTCACTGGTCTGACCCAGCAGGGCTCTTCTGATGTCCTTATGAGGGGAAGGCCTCGGCCTCTCTGCCCTGTTGCTGGCCCTCCAGAGGAACCGGTTGTGGCCACTGTGTGAAACGGGATGCTGGACTGGATGGACCCTCACTGGTGTGACCCAGCAGGGCTCTTCTGATGTCCTTATGAGGGGAAGGCCTCGGCCTCTCTGCCCTGTTGCTGGCCCTCCAGAGGAACCGGTTGTGGCCACTGTGTGAAACGGGATGCTGGACTGGATGGACCCTCACTGGTCTGACCCAGCAGGGCTCTTCTGATGTTCTTATGAGGGGAAGGCCTCGGCCTCTCTGCCCTGTTGCTGGCCCTCCAGAGGAACCGGTTGTGGCCACTGTGTGAAACGGGATGCTGAACTGGATGGACGCTCACTGGTCTGATTCAGCAGGGCTCTTCTGATGTCCTTATGAGGGGAAGGCCTCAGCCTCTCTGCCCTGTTGTTGGCCCTCCAGAGGGACCGGTTGAGGCCACTGTGTGAGACGGGATGCTGGACTGGATGGACCCTCACTGGTCTGACCCAGCAGGGCTCTTGTCCTTATGAGGGGAAGGCCTCAGCCTCTCTGCCCTGTTGTTGGCCCTCCAGAGGGACCGGTTGAGGCCACTGTGTGAGACGGGATGCTGGACTGGATGGACCCTCACTGGTCTGACCCAGCAGGGCTCTTCTTAGGTTCTTTAGAACAGCAGTATCACCAAGGCAGAGGGCTATAAGGAAAAAGAATCTAACCGATTTCAAGCAGGAGTAGCGAACAACCGCCACCTCTCTAATTGGCACATTCAGCCATCTAAGGCAAAGAGAGGGTTTGTTCCTCCCTCCCAAGGTGCCTGTGGTGGGGAGAGGAAGGAAAGGTAATTGTAAGTCACTCTGAGATTCCTTAAGATAAAGAAAACCAGGGTAGAAAAACCTACTCTTCTTCTACTGCCTGGGTGAATTACATGGAGATGCCAAGGACTGAACCTGGGACCTGCCCACTCTGGGTTTGGAAATTTCTGGAGATTTTTTTTTGGGTGGGGAGAAGAAGAAGAGGAGGAGGTTGAATTTATACTCCACCCTTCACTTGGAGTCTCAGAGTGGCTTACAATCTCCTTTCCCTTCCCCTCCATACAACAGACACCCTGTGAGGCAGGTGGGGCTGAGAGAGCACCTTTGAGGACTGCCCTTGAGAGAACAGTTGAGCGAGAACCACTCAAGACCATCTTGTTTACAAAAACCACTTTATTATTGTTACTGTTGTTAGTATCCATGATTTTATTGTTTTATCTGGTTTATGTATGGGCGCATGCCCCTTGTAAGCTGCCTTGAGCCCGCTTGCGGGGAGGGCGGGGTAAAAATGTCTAAATAAATAAATAAACAGTTCTGAGAGAACTAGTGACTGACCCAAGGTCACACCAGCAGCTGCATGTGAAATCAAACCCAGTTCGCCCAGGTTACAATCCGCTCTCCTAACCACTACACCAAACTGGGGAGGGCAGGGTTTGAGGGGAGGACAGACCTCCCTAGGGCATAATGCCGCAGAGTCCACCCTCCAAAGAAGCTCTTTTCTCCAAGGGAACTGATCTCTGGAGTCTGGCTACTGGTTGTAATTCCAGGATATTCTCAAGCCCCCTCCTGGGAGATGGCAGCCTTACTGCCGCCACTCACCTGTCGCTTTCCCATCAGTCTCCAAAGCCACCGCGGCCGATCTGTAAAGGAAAAGAGCAGAGTGGTTAGAAGGTGCCAGATAATTCGCAGGAAGTTAGAGTAGCTCTCTGGCCGGTTTGTCCATCCGTACAAAGAAGAAGGAGGGCTGGGATTTATACCCCGCCCTTCACTACCTGAAGGAGTCTCAGAGCGGCTTACAAACGCCTTTCCCTTCCCCTCCCCACAACGGACACCCTGGGAGGCAGGTGGGGCTGAGAGAACTCTGACACAAACTGCTCTTTTTCAAGAACTACGGCTTGCCCAAAGTCACACCAGCAGGTGCATGTGGAGGAGCAGGGAATCAAGCCCGGTTCTCCCAGTTTAGAGTCCGCCGCTCTTAATTATCACACCAAACTGGCTCTCAAAGGAGAGCGACTGCGTGAAAATTCTTTGGGCCATCGGTGGCCCTCCTCTGAAGGGACAAGATACTTACAGCACAACCCTATTGGTCTGAAATCTGAAGGAGGGGGGGGAAACCCATCTACCGTACAGATGATCTGCCCTAAATACTAGTGAACCTGAACCCTGCGATACATTCCAGGCTGAAAGGAGCTGAAGCCCTAAACTGTTAACAGCTATCCATCAAGCTTGCCACCCGCTTCCTTTACCCCCATATGTTGGGGAAATGAGGGCTACAGGAACCTTTTTATGTACTCCCATTCCCACTGTGTCCGTTTTGGGAGGGAGAGAAGCTGGCTTCCCAACTGCATCGAGAGGGAGTTGTTCTAAACCAAAACTCAAGTTTATTCCAGTACACACTCTGAAGTCAGGAAACACTTTTGTAGCATTTCAGTTTTCAAAACAGGATATCTCAACACAACCCCAATACGTAAACCGCGCGCTTGAAGTTCTATGGCCTGGGTCACACGGGCAGGAAAATGCGGGGGGGAAGCGTGGCTGTTTGCCCCGGGGCAAAATAACACGCAGTTGCGCCAGCAGACGTACCGTGGAGGTCCTGTGGAGGTCTCATGAAGGTCCAGTGGTAGGGGGGAGGTGCCGAGCACACCACAATCCTGCGCCGCGGCAAAGAAGCGGCGCAGCGTGGCAAAGGGGTGTTTTTCTTCCGGACACCAAAGTGTGCGCATGCCCTGTTGGGTGTTTGTGCGCATCCCATGGACAGTTGGGGGGGAAAAAACCCTTTATACAAGGGGGCATGGGCAGGCGCCGGAACTACCACCAGAAACGCGATCAGACGCCCGCCCTTGCCCCGCGGTTACCGGAAATGAGTACCTCCGAGGTACTAGTTTTTAACCGCGCATCTTCGGCGGGAAGCCTTGGGTGAGCCACGGGAGCTCTACACTTCCCAGATGTGGTGGTGTGATCGCGCCTGGAAAATCCGCCTATCTTCCGTCCCTCTAGCGTGCCTAATGCTCCGTGTGACCGCAGCCTATAAAGCATATCCTAGGTTGCTCTGCCAAGACCCATCACTGAGGGTGCCTGGCCAGAACAACTAGGAACAAAACTGAAGTCAGAGATTAATATTAACAGCCTGTGCCACCAAAGACATCTACAGAAGACCTGCGAGCCGGCCATGGGAAGAGAGATAGCTGATGGTAGCCATCATGAACTTTGCTATTATAAATCTAGCACTTTAGGGAGTTACAAGTGTTTTAATACTGTTTTAAATGTTCTATTCCATTACTAAATGTTCTTGCTGATTTTATGTAAGCCACCCTGGGCCAGCCTAGGCTGGGAGGGTGGAGTACAGATTTGATTAAATAAATAAATAAAAGTACCCTTTCCCAACCCTAGGGGCTAATGTGACTGTCAGTCACGTCTGTGACTAGCGTTTGACATACATCTGTGACATACACAGCAAAGCTCAGCCCACCCAGTTTGGCGTAGTGCTTAAGTGCTCGGATTCTAATCTGGGAGAACCAGGTTTGATTCCCCACTCCTCCACTTGCAGCTGCTGGATGAACTTGGGCAAGCCATAGTTCTGTCGGAGCTGTTCTTGAAAAGAGCAGTTTCTGTCAGGGCTCTCTCAGCCCCACCTACTTCACAGGGTGTCTGTTGTGGGGAGGGGAAGGGAAAGGAGTTTGTAAGCCGCTCTGAGACTCTGAGTGAAGGGCGGGGTCTAAACTCAATCTCCTCCTCCTCCTCCTCCCATTCTTCCTGTCTCTGGGGTCAGGGAGGTCAAGGAAAGCTGGACTGAGCTATGTTGACTCAAGAGAGTTGAGGCTGACTAAGAGAGTCCCAGGAAGCTAGCTTCAGATACTCTATTCAGAATTTGATAGTGACTCCTGACGTCTGCAAAGTATAAACATTCCCAGAAGGCAAAAGTCATGTGAGGCAGAAGTCATGTTACCAGGTTATCGGTACCAGCAGGGCTCTTTTTGTAGAAAAAGCCCAGCAGGAACTCATTAGCATAATAGGCCACACCCAACAGCAGGACCTCATTAGCATATTGGGCCACACCCCCATGTTACCAGAAGTGTGGTTATCCAGCCACACCCACCTTTTGTTGTCAAAACCCAGGGCTTTTTTTTGTAGCAGGAACTCCTTTGCATGTTAGGCCACACACCGCTAATGTAGCCAATTCTAATGAGTTTCTGTTGTTGGGTGTGGCCTGTTATGCTAATGAGCTCCTGCTGGGCGTGGCCAACTCAGGAGCCAGCCGGAATTCGGTTCCTGTTCGTTCCTGCCCAAAAATAGCCCTGAAGGCCGCAGCACTTAGCAGAGTCCTGAAGCCTTCTGGGAAACAGAACCACAGATTCAACTGTAGAGGCTAATCACTGTAGAAATTAAAGTGTCACAGGTGTACCAGAGGTTTAGCAGAGGGCTGAGGCACAATCCAGCACTAATTCCGCGACTGGGCAGGGACCGGAACCCTCGTCTAGTGACTTCCAGCCCAGATTTCCACCCCCTGCACTATTCTGGCATCCCTTTCTAAAAATGGCTGCGGGGGGGGGGGGGTAAACTGCAGAACGACGGCCCTGCTGCTTCTGCTGGTTTTATTGCCATCGTTTTCTGGTCTTCCCTTTAGTGCTTTATTTGCTATGGATTAAGATAGACTGGAACCGACCAGTGTCCACAACACTGGATGGCAGCCAGCCCTGACGGCCCAAGAACAGCAATATACAAACTATTTTTTTATGGGGGGGGGGGGAGAAGAGATTATTAAAACCGTTATCCTCAAGCCCTAGGATCTTAGTTCTTGTGGCCCTTTCTTACATGCCCAGGGAAATGCCGATCACCACTTTGGGATCAGGAAGCCATTTTTCTCCAGGCCAGTTTGGATGGAGATCCTGGAGGTTTTTTGTCATCTTCTGGGCATGAAACAGGGGTCACTGGGGGTGTGTGTGGTGGGGAGGTATTTGTGCATTTCCTGCATTGTGCAGGGGGTTGGACTAGATGGCCCTGGAGATCCCTTCCAACTCTATGATCATCTATGCTTCTATGAGCCCAGTTCAAGTTGTTGGTTTTGTCCTTTAAAGCCCTACTGGCTTGGGTCAGAGATACCTGAAGGATTGTCTTCTCCCACATGTTCCTGCCTGGGAATTAGATCACAAGGAGACGCCCTCCTGACTGTCTCACCAACTACAGAGGCTTGTTTGGTGGGTGTATGAGAGAGGGCCTAGTCTGGAACAACCTCGCTAGGGAGGTGCGCCTGGCCCCCTCTTTGTCGAACTTCAGGAGGCTGCTGAAGACAGTTTTATGTAGGACTTCTATTGATGGATTTAGTTTTTATTATCGGCAGTCCTAACGTTTTTAAATTGCAACATCCCATGGGTTTTTATAATTGCTGTTTTTATTGTGTTTTTATACTATTTTATTTCTATCGGAAGCCACCTTGAGTTCTGCAAGCAAGAAAGGTGACTGATAAATGTTTTAAATATTTTTTTTATTTTAAATAGATATTATTGGGTAGAGACAAAAAACCCTGACAACCTTTTCAAAGGGTATCTTCAAAAGACAGTCCTAGTGGTTAGAGAGGCAAGACTAGGATCTGGGAGAACCACGTTCGAATCCCCAGTCTGCCATGGAAACTCACTGGGAAACCCAGAGGCAGTCATACAATTTCAGCCTTACCTACCCCACAGGACTGTTGAGATAATTAAATGGAGGACAATGTAAGCTGCTTTGCGTTCCCACTGGGGAGAAATGAATTAAATAAACAAATAAAATACTAGAATGGAGACGATACATTACTAGTGGCAAGCACTGGAAAACAAGAACAATTTGAACCTACAGCCAGGTCACCGAAGAGAACATTTTTGTTATCAGTTACAGGCTCCCAGATAGATTCAGGTGTTCTGCTGTTTCAGACCAACAAAGCTACTTTGTTCAGCTCCCAGATAAAATCACCCCACCATATTGTCCGGGCAATGATCCTGCTTTCTCACAAGCCTTTAGCAATAGGCCTGTCCTCACCTACAGACAACTCCCCACAACTCTAAAATCACAGCATACCAGCAACAGTCCACCTAACGAAGAAGAAGAAGAAGAGATTGGATTTATACCCTGCCCTTCACTCTGAATCTCAGAGCGGCTTACAAACTCCTCTCCCTCCTCCTCCCCACAACAGACACCCTGTGAGATAGGCGAGGCTGAGAGAGCTCTGACAGAAACTGCTCTTTCAAGAACAGCTCTGACAGAACTATGCCTTGCCCAAGGTCATCCAGCAGCTGCAAATGGAGAAGTGGGGAATCAAACCCGGTTCTCCCAGATTAGAGTCCACACACTTAACCACTACACCAAACTTAACCACTACACCAAACTCAGCGATCAGCTGCCAACTCCATATCTACTCAAGATCACACCATCAGAGGCCTGAATCACACCAGCCGTACCTTTAGGGCCTCACTCAGCCGCTCATTCAACAATGGGACACACCAACCATGTCCACCTGTGGATTAAACAGAACATGCAGGCCTGTGCTAGAAAAGGGGGCAAGTCCGACACAAAATAACAGCCCAAACTTGAAACCAGTGAGACAGCATTTCTGTTTCTCAGGATAACCTGAAAGTCCCAGTTCTTCAACATCAATAAAAATTTCTACAGAAGATTCCAGCATGCAATTGCTAATTAGAATCTACCAGAAAACTTAGTGCTATGCATAGGCATTACACTAACTTACCTCCTACTGCAATTAGTTGATATTTAATTATTATATACTATGTGCCTAAGGGGCTGCGGTGGCTCAAGTGGTTAAGATGCTGAATTGCAGATCGGAAAGTCAGTAGTTCAGCAGTTCAAGACCCGAGTGCTGCATGATGGAGTGAGCTCCCGTCTGTGGCCCCAGCTCCTGCCAACCTAGCAGTTCAAAAGCAAGAAATTGCAAGTAGATAAATAGGTACCGCTTTGGTAGGAAGGTAACAACGTTCCATGCGCCTCAGCGTCTAGTCATCCCGGCCACATGACCACGGAAACGTCTTTGGACAGCGCTGGCTCTTTGGCTTGGAAACGGAGATGAGCACTACAACCCTAGAGTTGGGTTCGACTGGCTTTCGAGGAAGGGAAACCTTTACCTTTACTATGTGCCTACACTGCTCCAGAGTTGGAAGGGACCTTGCAGGTCATCTAGTCCAACCCCCTGCACTCTGCAGGAGCATAACCGAAAGATAACCCTACAACATACCTGAAAGATGGTTTCTTAAAGATCACTATGGCATCCATTAAATGAGTCCTTGTTTTAGTCATCATATGCCCTACACTTGCGCGAGGCATTCGTGGATGCTGGAAATCGAATTTTTTGTTATCTGTCCGTATTAGAAATTTTAACTCTGTATGTATTGTATTTTATCATTACATTGTATCTTAACTGTTGTGACCCGCCCAGAGCCTGCTTGCGGGGAGGGCAGGATATAAATCCAGTGATAAATACATAAATAAAATAAAAATAACTCACTATATTGATCTTATATAAATTTGAGCTTTGTAAAGAAACACCACAAGCTGCATCCCTTGGTTTCACTGTTTCCAGTTCCATCACCGACCTCACTTCATGTATCAAAGTAGGCACAAAAGCACACACTACGTTATGACAATTAAAGTATCACAGGTAATCAAGTCTGCTTCTATTTATGTACAGCCTCAATTAAGACCAGGGCTTTCTGTCTTATAACATAAAGCAAGTCAACACACCATAGTAGAATTTTATGCTGTCACCAAGTTACTGTGCTTAGAAAACCAGCATGGTGTACTAGTTAAAGAGTCAGACTGGGATCTGGCCAGACGGTGATCACAGCCATGAAATTAAAAGACGCCTGCCCCTTGGGAGGAAAGCGATGGCAAACCTAGACAGCATAATAAAAAGTAGAGATATCACCTTGCCAGCAAAAGTCCACATGGTCAAAGCAATGGTATTCCCAGTAGTCATGTATGGCTGCGAGAGTTGGACTATAAGGAAGGCTGAGCGCCGAAGAATAGATTCTTTTGAACTATGGTGCTGGAGAAGACTCTTGAGAGTCCCTTGGACTGCAAGGAGATCAAATCAGTCAATCCTAAAAGAACTCAACCCTGGCTGTTCCCTGGAAGGCCAGATAATGAAAATGAAGCTCAAATACTTTGGCCACTCAATGAGAAGGGAGCACTCACCGGAGAAGACTCTGATGCTGGGAAAGATTGAAGGTCAAAGAAGACGGGGGCGGCAGAGGATGAGATGGTGAGACAGTGGGTGCGGTCAGATGGTGTGCTGAGAGCGGGTTAAACTACTCCAGTTCTAACCAGATTATATTTGATCTGGATAATCGTGATCACGCTTTGTAGGAAAGCAGTGCAGAAGAATTCACTATTCTCCTGACTGGAAATTGGGAACCCAAAGGTATTTGTGTGCTAACAGCATGAGAAGTCTGGTGATTGCCTACGCAGTCAATTTGGCCTTGGAAGTGATAACAGAGAACTTGCCTGCACACACACATTCCTTAGTTCATGACTAGGATGCTGTAATGTATGAAAGAGAGGAGGAGGGAGGAAATGGGGGGAAACTGAGCTTATAAATAAACGCTGGGAAGCCGAGAGGTTTCAGATCAGTTCCTGCAGCCGTTTGTGTCCTGTCGTCTTTGCATCGTTTGAACCCTGCACCCCCACACAACAAGTGGCACAACAATGCTTACCTCCCTTATCCCGCCTCACCGCGCAGTCACATCGCTCCGCAGCGTCTACACTGCTGACACGCGGGAGTGTGTGTTGGCGGGTCCCCCCCCCTTCAGTTTGCACATGTGCATAGGTGCCCCTCTGTAGAAGGGGGGGAACTATCATGGCACATGTGCAAAACCACCACGGTGAATCAATCCAAGCCCTCCAACAAAAGATTCCCATTTAAATGTTTAACCCGAAAATGGCCTCCATGAGATCCCGAACTCATCTAAACGCTAAAACAAGTGACCGTTTATATGTCGGTTTTCTAAACGCGGTGGCGGAGCTCCACCTATGCACATACCGCCAAAGCATAAAAAAATGGCAGGCGAAAAGTGGAAGCCTCGGGCAGCTTTCGAGTGGGGAGGGGGTTTAAACTGGAAGTGGCTCAACATCACAGGAGCGATCAGACGTCAGAAAAGTGTGGCTAGAACTGGAGAATCAGGAAAACACGACTTGGGGACCTGGTAACAAAAAACTCCATTTTAAAGGGGGGTTGAGCCAGAAAGCAACGGCTGGGGATGGTGCGCATTTGTTGGGTGTGTGAATGTGGATATAAAATCCGTTACTGAAGCGTGCCAAAAGCAGACTAAATGGCCCACCTGAACGCACCCAGTGTTATCGAGGCAACGAGCATGAAATTAAGCAAACTCCGGAGCACGACAGAAGACAGGAGGGCCTGGCATGATGTGGTCCATGGGGTTGCGAAGAGTCGGACTCGACTGTGCGACTGGACAACAACAAAAAAGATCTGGGAGACCCAGATTCAAATCCCCACTCTGCCATGGATGCTCTCTAGGTGTCCTTGGGCCAGTCATACCCACTCAGCCTAACCTACCTCACAGGGCTGTTGTGAGGATTGAAGGGAGGAAAGAACAAAATAAGCCAGTACGCCAAACAGGTCCCCACTGCGGAGAACAGCAGGTTATAAACAAATTAAATAATTTACTTTGTCACAGGAAGGCACTTCTGGCACTGTATGGGCTTTTAACCCCAGTATTTTACTCTATGGCACCTCTTCATGCGCCTGATGTAGATCCTACTTCGCAAGATTCGGGGCCACAATAAGCCCCTTAGCCTGGAATACGTCACAAAAAGACTCCTTTTAGTTTCGCCTCCCCCCCACAGCGCCCCTTACCCAAGAGGTGGAGCTATGAGCCCCACAAGCGTAGCCACCACAAGGCGCCATCTTGGCCCCATCGTCGCTGCAAACGGGCCCTCCTTTTACTCGCTTCCGCCTCACTCCACGGGCGACGCCATCTTGGGCGACAGAGAGCATTCTGGGATATGGGAAGAGGAAGGATTCTGCGCAGGCGCTAGCAGAGGAACAACACGCCGGGCCTTCTCCCAAAGTGATACAGCCTTCGTGGTCCTAAACCAAAACTTCCGGTCCCCGATTGCAGCGTGTGGCTTCCCCATGTGCGGGGCATAAGACGTAGAAATACAATGCGAAGTTAGATTAGGAAAAGCCCGGCACAAGAACTTGGAACCAACAGGCTCCTTTTTACTGCTGCATAACTAGTAAAGGTAAAGGTTCCCTTGCTCGAAAGCCAGTCGAATCCGACTCTAGGGTTGCGGTGCTCATCTTCGTTTCCAAGCCGAAGAGCCAGCGCTGTCCGAAGACGTTTCCGTAGTCATGTGGCCGGCATGACTAAACACCGAGGCGCACGGAACGCTGTTCCCTTCCCACCGAAGTGGTACCTATTTATCTACTTGCAATTTCTTGCTTTCGAACTGCTAGGTTGGCAGGAGCTGGAACTAGAGACGGGAGCTCACTCCGTCATGTGGCACACTCGGGTCTTGAACTGCTGAACTACTGACCTTCCACAGCCTGCAGTTCAGCGTCTTAACCACTTGAGCCACCGCAGCTCCATAAATGGAGGAACATAAATGGCGGGGGGCGGAGAGAAGAACGGCCATGCAGTGCCTTTCAGAGGGAGATTGCGTGCAAGCTGAAGTTCGCCAGGTACAGCCCTCCCCTTTCACAGCGCCTTGCACCTGTTGAATTGATGTCTGCTGCTGGGCAGTTTCTTGAAAGCACAGGCAGCTCCCGCATTCGAAGCCCAACTAGATTTGCCAGCCTCCAGGGGGTGGCTGGAGCTCTCCTGCAATTACAACGGATCTCCAGGAGACAGAGATCAGGTCACCTGGAGAAAATGGCCGCTTTGGAAGTTGGACTCTATGGCGTTATGTCCCAAACTTTGGCCTTCTGAGGCTCCACCACCCAAATCCCCAGGTATTTCCCAACCTGAAGTTGGCAACCTAAGCCCGACCCTGTATTTTGTCACAGCATGATTGCAATAAAAGCTGATCGGTCCCGGCCTGGCAGCGATGAAAGGGTGCACCGTCTGGGTCGCGCAGCCTGTCATCCAGGTCGCAGTTAAGAGGCACGGCTGCCCCAGGGTCTCCATTGGCTGAACGGGGCGTCGCTAGCGAAAAATTTGCTTTTTATAGTAGGCATTGGAAAAAATCTCTCGGTTTTGAACCCGAAGTGACTATGATAACTACGAGTCTATCTCTATAGCCTTCCAGTTTCCCAAACACGAAGTATTACTACCATAGAGAGACCGACAAAATAGAGCGACACGATCCTGCGTTTCCCAGGTCCGGCCAATGGGGACTTCCTCTTTCCTTCCGCCTGAAGGGCGCGCTTCGAACGCTGGCGCGCGTTGCCGTGGCGACGGAGGGGGAGAGGCGTGGCTGCCATTTGGCAGGTTCTTTTTAGCAACACAGTCGAGGGGAGCGCCTTTCATATTTGCATAATAAATTTGAATAAATAAATACGCCATCGGTGAAACAAGCCGGTTTGTATTACACGGGGGGGGGGGGGAATGTTTTGAACAACTCTGTTAGGCGGGCGGCCTCCAGGTGGGCCCGCTGCCTGGAGATCTCGGGATTACAGCTCATCTCCCGACTACTGAGATCAGTTCTGTTGGAGGAAATGGTTGCTTAGGAGAGTGATCTTTATGGCACTGAGGTCCTTGGTGGTGTGGTGGTTAGGAGCACTATCTGGGAGAATCGGGTTTGATTCCCGAGTCCTTTACGTGCAGCCAGCTGGTGTGAACTTGGGTCATAAGAACATAAGAGACGCCAATGTTGGATCAGGCCAAAGGCCCATCCAGTCCAACACTCTGTGTCACACAGTGGCCAGAAATACCAGTGCCATCAGGAGGTCCAGCAGTGGGGCCAGGACATTAGAAGCCCTCCCACTGTTGACCCCCCCCCAAGCACCAAGAAGACAGAGCATCACTTGCCCCAGAGCCCCTAGCTATACCTTGTGGCTAATAGCCACTGATGGACCTCTGCTCCATATGCTTATCTAATTCTCTTTTGAAGCCTGTAGCTGCCACCACTTCTGGTGGCAGTGAATTCCATGTGTTAATCACTCTGGGTGAAGAAGTACTTCACACACATTGATTATGTTGTTCATAATATCTGGTCCATTTCACTAAAATCCCAAATTTAAAATTTTATTTTGCCTATTCTGAACATCATTTTTAACCCTTTCCTGTAATGATCAATTCAGATTGGGACCACTGTACTTAGGGAGAGGGGGTTTAATGTCATAACATTTCCCAGCAAATAGTAAACAATAATCTTACCATATGGTAAGCAAATTCAAAGGCCATTTTACAAAATTATAGGGGTGTCCTTTCCAAGTCAAAATGTTTCTTTTTATCAGGGCATGTTGATACACCACAAATAAACAACAATGAACAGGCAATCCCTAAATCTTGGTGCTCTGTCTCTATACATTTGAATGGTTTGCTGCAGGTGGTACCAAAAAGAGATCCAAAACGGGTCAGTCACAAGTTCTCTCAGCTGTTCTCTCAAGAGCAGTCCTTGAAAGAGCTCTGTCAGCCACACCTACCTCCCAGAGTGTCTGTTGTGTGGAGGCGAAGGGAAAGGAGATTGGAAGCCACTTTGAGACTTCTTCGGGGAGTAAAGGGCGGGGTATAAATCCAATCTCCTCCTCCTCCTCCTCCCCAAGCTCCACCTCCCAAATCTCCAAGAATATCCCAACCCAGAGTTGGTAAGCGTGTTCCTTGCCCTGCAAATACAGGGGCTGTTGCTAAGATGAGAGCCTCACAGGATTATGGAAGCTACCCCCTCCCTCTCAAAATGGCTTGCCTTGCCCCCACTTGGGAGGTGTGTGGAAATGCCCCATGAGTCTGTTCCACACGCGCACGCATTCTCACCCTTGCTAGTCAACATGGGGTTCCCTCGGGAATTATTTTTATTAGAAAGGCTACTATGTGTTTGGGCTTCTAAATAAAATCCTGGCATTTGGGGTAGAATGTGAGTCTGCACACGGTATGTACGGCACACGTTTCTTCTGCTAAAAGAAGCCGCTAAAAGAGGATTGCCAACCTCCCACTATTACAACTGATCTCCAGGTGACCCCCAGAGCAAATGGCTGCTTTGAAGGGTGGACTCTATGGCATTGTACCCTGCTGAGGTCCCGCCCCAGCCGAGACCCTGCCCTCCCCAGGCTCCATGCATTTCCCAACCCAGAGCTGGCATCCCTAAAAGGACCCAGGCATGTGCAGAATTCATAAAGATGCAGCCTTTACATTTCTCCAGGGAGCCTGGGGGAGGGGCACAGATGGCCCCCTTTTTAATCCTTGCAACCACCTTGTGATATTGGGGAATACTGGTTTGGCTAAGACCACCTGGTAAGATTGATGGCAGCGTGGGGATTTGATCCAGGGCACCCCCTAGCCGTAACATTTAAACAATTACACCAACTTGGCCCAAAGTGGAGAATGCCTCTCATCCTTTTCAAAAACGCACCTTGTTTTATGATGAGGGCTTTGAGCATAAACAGAGTGCTTGCCTTCTGAATAGAAAAAACACCACTTTGGTGTACTGGTTAGGAACGCAGACTCTAATCTGGGAGAACCCGGTTTGATTCCCTACTCCTCCACATGCAGCTGCTGGTGTGACCTTGGGTCAGTCACAAGTTCTCTCTGAGCTGTTCTCTCACGGGCAGTCCTCAAAAGGGCGCTCTCTCAGCCCCACCTACCTCCCAGGATGTCTGTTGTGGGGAGGGGAAGGGAAAGGAGATTGTAAACTGCTCTGAGACTCCTTCGGGTAGTAAAGGGTGGGGGTATAAATCCAACCTTCTCTTCTAAAAAATGCTCCTAACTAACAACAGTTGCTCTGAGCTTGTGAAAGATGGCCCCCCTGCCCTGTGATGTAAAAAACACTCTCACTGAGCTGAGCATGCTCTTCCTAAAGAAAAGCAGCTTATTATTATTTTAAAAGCTCCTTAAGGTACCCTTTAAACAACTGCCAAGCAATAATAAGATGAGTATGAATTAAATCCCCTCTTTGCATAAGCTTTGCCCTCTAGCTACAACCAGGGCCTAGTGTGCTGATTACACATCACACCCAAAGCACTCCCTCCTTGTCCCAAGAACTCAGGGAGGGGTTCGTTCCACCCACCCCGAAGTTGCAGTTTCAACAGGTTTCAGCACCGAAGTAACTGCAAATATTTAATACTGTCAAAGAATTACAAAAGGAGAGCGACAGACGCATCTGTGGTTATATTATTTGAGGATTCTGACGTACATGTTTGACGATCCCACGTAGGCATATTGGAGAGACCTTCTAGGGTGGAGGCAGTTTGGTCTTCTCCCCCAAAAGGATCTTGAAGTGGGTCAAAGTCTTTCCTATGAACCGTACAGTACACAGTCTCAGTGTAGTATGAACAGATTCTCCCAACAGCATTGTTGTGTGAAGGCACCCTGCTAAGAAGCAGATAAGCAGGCTGGCTCAGGGACCAGCGAGCACCATCCTGTGATGTCCCTGAAATTCTGGGGGTTCGCTTGCAGCCCACTATATTCTGGCCCGATGGTGGCTGATTCTCCCCGGCTGATTTCCCCACTTTTAAGACCGATCTCCATCCTAGTTGGCATAATCCCCTCAATATTCATTCGCAGGCATATTGAGGAAGCAGCCCCTCAATATTCATTCGCAGGCATATTGAGGAAGGAGCCCCTCATTTGTAGGCATATTGAGGAAGCAGGAGGGAATGTTGGGGGGAGGGAGTCCCAGCCTCTGAGCCTCACCTGCTGCCAGTCTCTGGGAGCCAGCCCTAAACTGGCTTGCAAGCTCTGAGGTTTTATTAAGCAAAAATTAGCCTCCCGCACTGTCCGGGGAAGAACCTGGAGGCGTTTGGAATGGAAGAGAGGAATTGGCACACTGGTGCCCAGTGCCGAGGCTCCACATGCCGTAGAATAGCAAACAGCAGCTTCTGAGCGGCTGGCTGCTACACCAAGGAACACTTGCTTCTGCTCTTCTGTGATCCTTTCAGGTCCAAGGACCCCTTGTTGCTTTGACCCTGAAACAGGTAAGGGGGGGGGAATTAGAAGTGAGATACAAGCTGTAGCACTGAGACCCATCAGCTGTGGAAACGGGGTCTGTCTTTGGAGAGAATATATCGGAGCTCCAGACAGTGCAATCCTAAGAACGCTTCCCTAGGAGTAAGCCCCACTGGATACACTTCAGTAGCATTCTGAGTAGACCAATTTAGGATTGCACTGAAAAGGTCCCCTGCCCAGAGAGTGTTCCGAGCCTCCCTACCCACGCCAAATGAATATGATATCTCGCAGAACTGCTGGCATGCACCACAATTCTGAACTCCCCGAAGGAAAGAAAAGCCCGGATATCACAAGGATTCTGCGCAAAAAACCCCAGCAGTATTTCCATGATCAGTTTGGATGGTTATCACCAGGGTCATTTCCTGCAGGAGTGCACAGGGAGCACAGCTCCGGCAGTAAAGAGCCCAGGGGGCGGGCACATGCAACAAGCCCCACCCCCTGCTCCCAGCAGCCCTTAGTCAGAGCAAGAAGCAGCCAGGTAAGTAGCAGAGCCCCCCCCCAGCCCCCCGGCCCAAAACAGTCCAGTGGCACCTTTAAGACTAAGTTTTATTCAAGTACAAGCTCTCCCTCCTCTGCGAGGACAGATCTACACGTTCCTCCCCCCCTCCAATAGCTAGCAATCCAAAACAGTCCAGTGGCACCTTTAAGACCAAGTTTTATTCAGGTACAAGCTCTCCCTCCTCTGCGAGGACAGATTTGCACGTTCCTCCCCCCCTCCAATAGCTAGCAATCCAAAACAATCCAGTAGCACCTTTAAAACCAAGTTTTATTCAGGTACAAGCTCTCCCTCCTCTGCGAGGACAGTTCTGCACATTCCACCCCCTCCCCCCCAATAGCTAGCTATCCAAAACAGTCCAGTGGAGCCTGAGCGGTGCCTTCTGACACACTTCCGGTGATGTCAGGGGGTGTGGCATATGCAAATGAGGTATGCTAATGAGCTCCTGCACCTCTTTTTCTACGAAATGACCCCTGGTTGTCACTGAAGTGGTGATCACGATTAAACTGTGATTGGTTTGGATGGAGAGAGAGAGAGAGGTGCCGGAAATCTCAAGAGGGAAATGAAGTGGCACACCCAAGCGCTTGATGGTTGATGCCAGGATCAGCGGTGTGCTGTCGAGCACTGGGAGTTGACACCCCAACCTCCGATCGCTCCCCCCCCCCCCCCCCCCCAGGCCCTGGACTCTCATAAGAACATTACTGATGGGTCAGATCAGTGGTCTATCATCTGTTCACCAGCTGTGGACAGAAGTACCTGCTTGAAAGAAAGAGGCTAAGAACACAAGACCATCAAGTACTTCCTTCACTATTTGCTCCCATCTCAGGGTACCCTGAGTATGCAGTGCCCCACTACCATACCGAATATCTTCACGGTACATTTTTTCAAAAAAGTCTAACAGTAACAGTGGCCGTCTCCGCAGTTTGTGACAAAGTATTCTGGAGGTCAGGTCTGTGTAGGGTTGCCAAGTCCTATCTTCACCCCCAGAGGGGGACTTTGGGGGGGGCCTTCCTGGAGGGGGTGGGGCATCCCCGGCGTGATGACGTCATGTTGGGGACATCCCCGCCCGCCCACCTGACAGTGGCGCCGGCTCCCCGGCGGTA